AGAAGACCCAATACTATTATGGGCTACTGGACTCTTTTAGAATATTTTGCTGAGTTTACACACCTATAATATTCAAATAATGGAACTTAACAAAAAAGGGTATACAGATGAATGTCCATTTTGTATCTGTGTATTGAAAGTGGTTAGGATAGATATATAGTTACATTCTTTTAATGAATAGAATGATTTGTTCTAATGATGTTTGTAAATCGGATCTCAAATCCACATCTTGTACAGCAATTAACCACTAAGAAGAATGTATGCAATGTGTTAGTTATTGAAACTGTCCTAGCAATTTGATTTGAAACTGTCTCATTGCTATTTGTTTATCAATAAAATTATGAAAAAAATAAATGAAACATAGTAAAAATGGGGAAAAAAAAAAAAAAAGAATCACAGGGCCTCTATGGGTCACCAGAGAGAGCACCAGGTCTCCAGCCTGCCTCCTTGAACAGGAAGGAAATTACACAAGCTTCCAGTTCAGCTGGCTCCAGGCTTTCACAATCCAGCTCTTTCTGTCTTGTGTAACTCTGACGTGCCACTCTTCTGGTGTAACTTGTGGTGTGCTTAGTGCAGTGACATGGCATGCTCCCCTGCTGCCCCACAGTGACCCTGAAAGATGTCTAGACTTCCAGATAACTGAGCCTGATAATTAAATGCAAGGCAATAGCCAATATTTAAGAAGCAATACTAATATTTACCAGATTTTTATGATCTATAATAAAGGTAAGCAAGCAAACTGGGGGATATAAGGCCCAGCCTGACATGAAGCAATGTGCACATAGTTGGATAATATTGATGGCTTTTCAAAATATTATTACATATATCAGCATCAGCTCTTCTTAGTCTCCCTATAGTCATGGAAATCAGAGAACCATAGGTAACATTTTCATTGTTATTTATTAGAAAAGTGAGGAAGAAAGAGAGACTGAGGCTATGGGAGGAAGTAGCTAATGATACTGATCTGGTTTCTGTGGCTTAGGTTTTTTGTACTTTTATAATAGAACAACAGAGTTTATGTAACTTATGAAGAAAATATTTATTTCTCACTGTTCTGAAGGCTGGGAAGTCCACTATCAAGATAGCAGTATTTGCTGAGGGCTTTTGCTGCATGAACCCATGGTGGAAAAGGTGAGAGGGAGAGGGCAATGTTGCTCTGTTATAACAAACCCACTCCTGAGATTTCATTATTAATCCATTCGTGGGACGAATTCACTTCAAGGCCTCACAGCCCATCAGGACCAAACCACCTCCTATAACTGTGGCATAGGGGATTACATTTCCAAAATGTACAATTTGAGGGGACATGTTCAAACTTTAGCAATGATAGATATGAACTCATAGCCCTCTGATTAGGGATCTTTCTTCCAAGTCACACTGTCACTTGCCTTGATTTTGGCTAGTGGTGTGAATGCACTTGTCATCACAATCCCTCACCTCTGTAATGTGTTTCCAATGTGTATTTATGATGGAATATTTGGATAAACAAAAGGTCCATTGCCTGTCTCATCCAGCGGGTCAGTCAACGAAGGTCACCTGGGAGAGGAGCAGGGAATGGAGGAGGGGACAAAGGACAGGAGATGCAAGAAATAAAGACAAGACAGGATTCTGATCAAGTCTCCTTTATTCAGGGGAGGTGCTGGGTATATACAGGGAGTGTAGGAATGAAGAAGTCTGGGCTCTTGACATCAGCAGGTATCTAGGCAACAGAGGAAGGTCCCACCCCTGGGGCATAGCACGTAATTCACAGGGAATGGGCAAGGCGGGAAGGAGCAGAAACTTAACTCAGCAGGGGAATAGAAACTTAAGAAAATGGCTGACACTATTATAAAATGGATAACAGTTAAAGGCTTCCCACAATTGCCTGCTTTTGTGAATTAAGTTTAAGTGAAACATAGTCAGTCGTATTTACTCATTTACTGTTATGTATGTCTGATTTTATAAAGCAGAATTAAGTAGTTGCAACAGAGAGCATATGGCCTACAAAGTCTACGCTACTATTATCTAGACCTTTACAGAACGATAACTGACCTCAGGCCCAAGTGAGACTTTCACTTGGGGCACTTGGCTACTTCATTTATACTGGACTTGTTTTGCATTTCTTCTCTCACTTTATATGATTATTGTACAAGTTGCAAGAACTGAGGAATCTAAATTAGTTGTTATTAGACTTGGTTCCATGAGACAGAAAACACAGGATAAAAGAGTAATAGATTTTTCTTTCATGTGGAGGTCTGGAAATGGGTAACTGGGTGTTGGTCTGATCTAGAGTGCATGGTGTTAGGAACTCACATGCTCTTAGGTTGCTGCTTTGTCATTTGTAGTTTTTATTCCTGAAGTCCTTATGTACTTCAAAAGAACTGCTGGAGTTCAAGCTAATAGGCTACTTGATGATATAAGCGGAAACCAAAAAGCCAAATAAATTTTTTTAAAAAGCCTAGAAACAAAGTCAATCATAGAGCCCAGACAGCAAATTCACATGAACTCATGTCTAGCCAAGGTGAACACTATTGTCATAGTTCACAAGGTGGCTAGCATATTCCATTTATTTCATTCTTAGGCACACTGAGGAAGACCTAGCATGTCTTATGTGTAATCAGCACTTAGCAAAGCATTTTCATATATTTTCTGTCATTTGTTCTTTATAATGCTCTGAAACAGAGGTGTCCAGGCCTTACTATTATCCCTGTTGTATGCTTGCTTCACACTGTGCTAAGTAACAGATCACAGGACCTACAACTAGTTTTTTGGATTGTTGTCAGAAATGAAAAGGTGAAACATCATGGTGCCAAAGAAAGAAAATGACCCCAACCAGGATCTCTGTCCGAGAGGCACAAAGACAGTGAGCTGATCCTGTGCTCTTTGCTGCTCCAGTTGTCAGCTCTGCTACCTAAGTCACCTGTAGTCCCAAAAGCATTGCACTTGCTTACTTGGGGATTGTTGCCCAAATAGCAGACAATCCTTTTTTTTAAAAATGTAGGGTCTCGTTACACAGTTTGTACTCATAGTGATTCTCCTGTCTCAGCCTCCCTGGTGCTGGGCTTACAGGTGTGCACCAGCAGGTCCCCTTCTGGGTGGGCACTGCATGCAGTACTGGGGAGCAAACTGGGGACCTTGTGCTTGCCAGACAGGCACTTATGCCACCAAGCTATCTCCCTAGCCCCCTTTTTAAATGCTTTTTTTTTTTTTTGACAGACAGTATTAACATATCTGGCATGTTAAGCCTACAATCTCATTGTTCCTACTGAGAAGTCTTACCTGTCACTACCCAAGGGTTTGTGGAAAGTCCCTCCTTTTCCTGGCCCAGTTTCCTTCTCTAGGGTTACTAGACTTTTTGGATTTAAGACTACTAAGCTATCTTCAAATCTCAAGTTCTCTCTGCCTGACAGCTTGCTTTTTTAATGGGAAGAGCTCAGGTTGGGCCTTTCCCTCTGGTTGCCACTAGCTGTTTGTCCTAAAAATAGACAAAAGACCGTGGTCTCTATGTAGAATAAGGATGAGCAGTACGTGGCTTGTTGGGAGGGTGAGGGCTGGGGGCAGCCCCACTGGACTGGACATCGTTCACAAGCCATCCCTACTTCAGAAGGCTACAGGTTGAGGTGAGTCCTGAAAAACCTCAGCAGCAAAATGAGGCACAAAGCTACCTCTCAGGAATTGTGAACCTTCAGGGGTTTATTATTGACACATCAGCCTGTAGCATTTCTGATGCTCGCTGAACAGTGGAGGAGCAGAAAGCCAGAAAACGGGTCAGGCACACGTCCTGGGCTGCACAGCCTGACCGCGAGAGCTCTGCCAGAGGCGCGCAAGGGCTACACTGGCACCCAGAAAGGCTCGCACGGCCCTTTAAATTGTGCTAGGCGGGGGCGGAGCCTGGGCATGTCTGGGCGGGGTTTAGTTCGGTATTGGCCAATTGTGGGCGCCGTTGGAACGGCCAATCAGAACGTGTGTTGCATCCTTGCCTGTGCGAGGCCGTTCGCCAGCCGCCCATCACTTCTGAGGGGAAGTAAGTGACTGTCCTCAGCCACGTGCTTGGCTGCGCGTGGGGGGCGAGGCAGTGTAGCGCTCCCCGCCCAGGCCAGGCCCGCCCCCAATCCTGGGAAGCCCCGCAGTCGGCCTTCCTGCGCTGCCCCGGGCCGCCTCCGAGAACCTCAGAACCCGGCTCGCGGTCTCGGAGACGGTGACATGGAGGCG